CTGCCGGTTCGGCCCATATAAATTTTGCATTGGTTTCTATATTGTCCAGGAAGTCTTCGTCAATGAAGTCCTGCGCGGCTACCGTATTACACAGCAGGCAGACTGCTAAAAAGCTGGCGCCGGCCAGCAATTGCTGAAAGTATCTTTTCATACCATGTATTATTTTTTGGTAACGCTTAGTAAGTATTTGCTGAATTCTTTAATAGAAGTGAGAAACTTTTTCCAGTTCTCAAAATCCTCTTTTTTGATAACACTGTTTTTAATAACAATTTTCTTTTTCAGGGTTATTTTGTTACCGGTAACGGTATACTCGCCTTTGAACTCATAGCCTTCATAGCTCATTTCTACCTTCTCCGGCACATCTACAAACTTTGTGTCGGCCGGGATGCTGAGTGTTATCTCATCTTCATAGGTCATTACATCATCAAAATCGTAGCCGCCAACCCGCTTCTCATCGGGCATGAAGCGCTCCAGGTTTTTGGGAAAGAAGTCAATGCTGACGTATTTATCGCCCGAAATACTGTTCACATAATTGCTTAAATCCACATCCCCTTCAATGCTAACGGGGATGTCGCGGTTTTTTAAATCGCTTGTTTTAATATTGGCAGCCTGCATATTGTCGTTGCCAAATTCAAGAAAGTCGTTTAAAAATTCCTTTTGGGAGGTAACGGGCAGATCCTGGTACGACTGGTGAAAATCTTTGCGTTCGTTACCTGTAAGCACTACTTTCATTTTACCGGTCAGCAAATCACTGGTCAATACAAAATCAGCTTTTGTAAATATTTTATGGTCGTTGCCGGTAGTCAGGGGCACCGTCTTCAAATCGTACGCAGCGCCTTTGGCAATCATGGCCTCCTTACCCTGTATTCGGTAAGCATTTTCTCCAAAAGGTGCATATTTTTCAGTACCATCCAGGAAATAAGTGGCCCCTTTAAAATATAAGGTAGTAATAGCATGGTTATTTACACAAAGCGCAGGCATCGATTGCTGGTAAGGAATAGAACGGGTACCTATCCAGGTAAAATGTGCATCGTAGCCTGCCATCACCAGCAATTCTGTTAGCAGGTTGGCCATACCCTTGCAGTCACCAAATTTCTTTGCCAGCACATCCTGTACCCCGGCCGGAATATACCCTGAGTAACCATCTTCGTAGGCGATGTACCGGATATTATCCTGCACCCAATAATAAATAGCTTTTATTTTTTCTATATCGGTTGTCTTGCCCTGGGTAATTTTTGCCAGGGTAGACTGCAGCGCTTCTTTTTTGTTGCCCGCCATTCCATACAGGCGGTTGTTCCAGGCATAGGTATCATCTGTTTTATCAAAACCTTTCAGGGTCTCACCCTTGCTGTCAAAAGATTTTATCTGTATAATGATATGCGGGTCGGTGTAAGCATGACCAATGCCACGGTATTCCTGTTTTGTAGCGGGAATATCCTTCATGGTAAATATGTAGTTGACATACCCGCCTTTTTTATTCTCCTGCCGTTCAATTTTATACCCTTCGAAGTTGATGGTTTTAAAATCTACAGTCAGCCATTCAGGCACTTTGAACTCAAGTACTTTTTCCTTTACCGGGTAAGGCTCGGCGAAAAATAGCCGGGTAAGGTAGCGGCCATCCGAAAACTCCTTTTTCACCAGCACTTTTGCCATGCTTCCCTTCTGGGAAAACCGGATAGGGAAATACTGCACGCGGCTATCATCAAAAAAAACACCTTCGCTGGTTACAGATCTGTCCATGGGCAGCTGTCTGGAATTGGCGTACCGGGCGCCCACCTTAACGGTCTTTTTAAAGGCCTTTACCTGGATAAATTTATTGTAAAACTCAGGGTAGATAAGCGCCGCAAATTTCTTCAGCGACAAGAAATCCAGCTCCGCATCTTCCTGAATCACTACCACTTTATCGCCCAGCGCATTTTTGCCCTTGTCGAAACTAAAGGAGAGATGAGACGATGTACAGATAACATCATCGTCTTTGTACTTTCTTGACAATGCCTCCGCATTGGCTGCATCTTCCTGGTTAACGGCCACCTGTGCATTGCTGCAGAAGGAGATAGCAGTTAACAACAATGCAGGAATACATTTTTTCAGTAAAAGCGGAACTGGAATGAAAAATCCGCTTGAAAAAGCACCGGATTCAGGGGATAATGGTTTTTCCATAGTTAATTCAGCATTTCATAGCAGCCATTAAATTTGAGTTAGGGCGCCAGTGTTATTTACAACGAAATCACACAAAAATAATTGTATGTCAACCACATTTGCAAGTTTCCGAAATGAAATATTTGCATTTCTGGAACGAAAAGCCCAAAGCGTACCGGAGTATGTTAAAGCCAGCTGCCAATGCCTGTGGATGCCCGCTTTTTTTCACCGGCAAAGCAGCTGTATCCTGTTGAATAACCACCCGGTTAACCACCCTATACATCCGGGCTGAGGAAATAATTCCACGGAACAGGCACTGCGTTAATCAATAATGATGTACTTGATTTGTATCAATTATACCCGAAGTCTAAGGGCAAACTGCTGTTGAAGCGGGAATCAAGGGCATGACTGACACCGGACCACAACCGGCATTTCTCTGGCATCATTTTTAAACCCTGCAGCGTATTATTAACCATCAATCAGGCAGTATGAAAAAAAACACTCAGGCCAAAACAGGCGATATAAAAGATCCAGAAAAGGACCAGGCAAAGATGCAGGCCGAAACCATTGTAATTAACATGCCGGAGGTAAAAGACATACCGGGGCAGGAAAATGTTGTACCACCACGCCTGCGTGAAATGGAAGACATTACCATTTCATCGGCAGATGAAGAAGGCGAAGGTCTGCTGGACGATCTGAACAAAGAAGATGGTGAAGCAGTTGTAACCGGCGATGGTGGCAATGTAACCGCTGCAGAAAGAAAGCTGCTGAAGAAAAGCGCGGAGCACCCGTCTACAGCAGAAACAGCAGATTTTAAAAGAATGGCGCTCGATGAAAAAGATACTGAAGGAGATTTACTGAATGAAAAAAGCATACGGCAGGACCGCAGTGGAGCAGATCTGGATATACCCGGTGCTGAACTGGACGACGAAGATGAGCAGAATGGTGAAGAAGATGAAGAAAACAATATTTACAGTCAAAGGGACTAAAAGGAATGACTTACTTACAGAAATTCTATGACCAGGCTTTTCATTGGTTGATTACAGTGGGACCGAAAATCATTGTCGCCATTATTGTACTGCTGCTGGGTCAATGGCTGTTGCGTATTTTCAACAGGTGGTTTAAAGGAGTGATGGACAGGAAAAATTTTAATCCTTCTATCAAAACTTTTATGGCCAATATGGTGGCGGTCACCATGCAGGTATTGCTCATCCTGTTGCTGATGCAGGTGCTGGGTATACAAATGACCATATTTGCCGCCATTCTTGCTGCTTTCAGCGTAGCGGCAGGGCTGGCATTATCCGGTACGATGCAGAATTTTGCCAGTGGAGTGCTGATACTGCTGCTTAAACCTTACAAAGTAGGCGATAATATTGTTACGCAGGGGCACGAAGGCGCTGTCTCATCCATCCAGTTATTCTACACGGTTATCCTCACTTTCGACAACAAAACAGTGATTGTCCCCAACAGTAAATTATCCAATGAAATTATCCTGAACCTGAGCCGGGAGGGCAAAAGAAGGGTTGACATCGAGCTAAAGTTCAAATACAACCAGGATTATGCAAAAGTGAAAAATGCCATAACCAACTGCTTTTCATCATTAAGTAACCTGCTCAAAGAGCCCGCATTGCGTATCGGGGTGTCAAAACTGGAGGCTGATAATTATTCAGTGATCATCAACACCTGGATACCGGCGCATGGTTTTGAGGACGGACGGCTGATGATTAATGAAAATTTAATGACGGCCCTAAAAAATGCGGGTT